GCTTTCCAAATATAAATGATTAAAAACTATTTATTTCTTTTAAAAAAAATTGAAGACCAAAATATTAGTGCATTATGTTAGGATCGAAACTGGTTCACAACACCAAATTTACAATAGCAACTTGAACTGGAAAATATTGAGAATAAATTCTAGTGTAAGATTTAAAATAAATCATACACAGAGCAAAGAAAATTGAAGAAGAATTTTTTCTGTATTGGCAAAAGGATAAAACAATAGGAATTACAAATATAACTCTCTATTTTTTCTCTACAGAATTTTGCTATACTCTCTGTATATTTCGTATGAGATGAGAAAGAATGGGATGTGATAATCTGATGAAGGATGCTGCCTATTTATAACACCAGGAAGGTCTAGAGAATTCTTAAGCATTTAATATAATATTAAATGCCTAGAACTTGCCGTGCAAGAAAAAACTTCTCCTGCAAATTTCCCCAAAACAAATCTAGCCCCTTAGGAAACCTCCTCCCAAGTCCCTTAGGCAAATCTCCACCCAAGTCCCTTAGGCAAACCTCCACCCAAGTCCCTTAGGCAAATCTCCACCCAAGTCCCTTAGGCAAACCTCCACCCAATTCCTTTGGGAAATCTCCTCCCAAAATTATCCCAGGCAAACTTCTGCCCATTCCACATTATGAATTTAATATTTACACATTATATGTTATATATTGCAAAAGAGTAAAAACTATAGAAATCCTTAATAGGATTGATCTATGCAGGATTGCAGGCATGTTTATATTGTTGAGGCTGTCTGAAGGAATAAAATTATGGATTCTAGTGATAAAATATTCTCTAACATACCATAATTAGTAAGATATAGATGTTAAATCAAATACAATAAAATATTTAAATTTATAATTATTTAATTTTAATGAGTCACATTAAAATGTATTTCTACGGTACTATAAAAATAATGAAAAATAATTCCATCAATTAGCCTATTTAAAATTTTGAAACTAGTTGATGAGTTTAGTCAGTATGAAAGTACAAACATTGAGGTTGATATTATCCAATGATGACAAATAGTTGCGGTAGAAAGGAGTCAAATGTGCGGCCGTTACTTGTAACGTTATTCTTAATACTATTTTATATTAGTGAAAGATGAGCATTAAATGCTTTTCCTATCTCATCTTTAATTTATTATACGCACGAGATTTGGGAAAGGCAGAACTAGGAGTTTATATTTTATTTAAACTACTAATAAATTATAATTTTGTTTGGTAATATTATCAAAATAAGTTCATAGCTTAAAATATGAGTTATTTTGGAATACTCATTTATTGTTTCTCTGCAGCGTTTCAAAATAAGCTAGTAGTTTCTTAACTTTTTTTTCATCTTTATTCTTAGTATTTTAAATAAATGACATCCTTTACCATTACTTATTAAAATTATTTTCACTTCTCCTTTATCTGCAACTTTCACCATAATAATAATAATAATAATAATAATAATAATAATAATAATAATATTATTATTATTATTATTATTATTATTATTAATTAGTATTATTATTATTATATGAAGGAGATTCGCAACAATATTGCTATTTTATTATGGGATGTTAGATCATGATTATGCTAATAATTTTATTTCAAAATGTTAATTTTTTTTAAAGAAAAAATGTTAAATTTTAATATGTAAATAAACAAATTTAAATTTTATGAAGATGTCCTTTTTTGTCTTTTTAAATTTATCATATTTTCAAAAAGTTAATTTTACCAAACACTTTCAAGCATAACAACTAGCTTAGCAGCTCTTAGCTTATAGCTTTTCAACTTTCAGCTAAATTTGCCAAACATAGCCAATACTCCCTCCGTCCCATCTTACTTGTCTTACTTTCATTTTTAGTTTGTCTCAAAATAGTGTCATCTTTCTAAAATTGAACATAACTATCACTCTACATTTTCCAATTTACTCTTTTGACTTTTCAAATTTCTAGAGGTAAGTACAATTGTACTTTGTATAAATAACACCTACTTTTAAGGGGCAAAATTAAAAAGTTAATAACATTTGTTTTGTTGTATTAAAAATCAAGCAAAAAGCAAATGAGACAATTAATTAGGGACGGAGGGAGTAATTAATAAGTTGGTGGCATGCTAGTAATCAACTAATATTGTAAATTTACTTAATTTAAAAGATTTTCCAACCAAGACTATGTGGTCTAATGGTATCTAGGTTGGACTTTTATTTAAAAAGTTGTGAGTTTGAGCCTAAGTATATGAACAAATACTACATTGTAATAGAACCAGTAGCGTTCAAAACAAACAAAAAAAAAAGATTTTCAAAAAATAGTTAACCAAAAATAAAAATGCCATATCCTTTTTTAATGAACGAAATGAGTACGGAGTAAAAGAAAAAGCAGTTGTCATGAACGAAATGGGTCTGATTCAGCTAACGTGCCTTGATGAAATTATTTTTAATTCAATTTCTCACAATATTAAATTTTTAATATTAATATACAAAATTTATATATTTATAAAGTAAATTAAAAATAATATTAAAGACAAAAACTTAAATTTTTTTTTAAAAAAAGGATAGTAATTAATAAATACACTCATCACCTCTGGGATAATACAAATATGTGAGCTAAATGGCAGCTATATATATATACCTCCCTATTCCTCCCAACTATTCCTACAGCAATCTTAAGCTACAATACAATATAATGGCAGTCGTCGGAAACCTAAAGCAGCTGACGTCATTGCTCCTCCTATGTACCATCACCTTCGAAGTTCTGTCGCCTTGGGCCGAAGCGCAGGTCTCATGCAACGACATCTTCAACCAACTTTCACCGTGCGCCGACTACTTGAAGACAGGCGGTGCCGTACCAGCGGATTGTTGTCCAGCCCTGAAAACTATGGTGAATAATTTAAAGACGAAGCTAGACAGGCAAAGCGCCTGTGAGTGCATAAAAGACTGTGCTGCTAAAGACACACCGGAACAACTGAAACGAGCTCAGGGTCTCCCGAGTTATTGTAAAGTTCCCTTTCCGTTTAAGATTAGTCCGGACGTCGACTGTTCAGCAGTCCCGAAAATAATATAATATAATTACTCCCATCCGTAATTAAAAGAACATGCATACATATTAACACCTTCCAGAAAAGGTGTTGATTGGCATGATGATATTTGAGAATTAATAGAAACTTTAATTACTTTCTTTTGTGGAATTTAATATTTTCTTTTTGGAATAAGGGTCAACTAGGCCATTGAACTGCACATCAAGTTGCAATTAGGCTATTTAACTCAAAAAAAGTGCAATTAGGTACTTAAACTACACAAATTTATGCAATTAGATCTAAAATGACTTGTTTATCTGATACTTTGCTGACGTGAAAGTTCTGGATTTTAAAAATAATTTTAAACACAAAATTAATTAATAAAAAAAAAATTGAACGGCCGGAGACGAAATTGTCTCCGGCCGTCCATCGTCTCCATGCATGGCAGCCATGGAGACGAAGACGTTATGTTTTTTTTTTATTATTATTTTTTTGTTCCATCGTCTTCGTCTCCTAGCCATGGAGACGAAGACGTTATGTTTTTTTTTTTTTAATTATTTTTTTGTTTAAAATTATTTTTAAAACTCGCAACCTACATAGCAGGTAAATAGGTCATTTTAGATCTAATTGCATGAATTTGTGTAGTTCAAAGACCTAATTGTATATTTTTTTGAGTTTGATGACTTAATTGTAATTTGGTGTGCAATTTAGTGACCTATTTGACCCTTATTCCTTTCTTTTTTATGGTGGAGATCAAACCATTATAATAGGGGTCATGTGAGCGGGTCAAAATTTATTAAAAATTAGTCACTCTTCTAAATTATTCTTTATATGAGAAATAAAATAAAGTTAAAATACATACATATGATTAATTATCAAGTTCTTTTGATATTTTCTACTTACTATCAATTTTTTTTTAAAAGCGTTAAATAAGCCATAACTACCTCAATCGCAAATTTGTTATTATTTTTTACATTTAAATGAGAATTGGATTATACAAAGACTTGTTTCTCCCTTAAAAGAAAAGAAGGTATTTAGTTTGCCTCCACCTCATCATCAAGGTTGATAGTAGGTGGCTAGCTATCTACTCCATATCTCATAAAAAATAATTTCTTTTAGAAAAATTTGTTGGTCCCAAAAAGAATAGAGTAAAAGTCTAGAGGGGTGAATAGATTTCTACAAACAATTCGAATTATGCTAAACAATGTAAAAATCAAAACACTTGATAGAATTATCAAGGTTTTGTGCACAACGAAATTTAATCTTTGTGTAGTGTGTGGTTTCACATGCACAAGTGCATGCAATATGTAAATAAATGAAGCAATAAAGAACACAACAATTTATAGTGGGTTCAAAGGTGTATGTAATCCTTTTACTCCACTCTACTCCTATCTTCATGAGTAATTCACTATATCCACCACTTCATAGTTACAAGATACACTAGTACAGAATTGCAGATAGGCAACCATTGTAAAAGACAATAGGCAACCATTGTACAATGGTCGCCTATGAGAGGCTCACCTAAAGGCATCCACTTTACGCTACCATTGTGAAATGGTTGCGCATTGTTAGTAATACGCGACCGTTCTTGACAAAGAACGGTCGCGTATTGTATTTTTTTTATTCGAAGGGAATACGCGACCATTTTGACTCTAGAAATGGTCGCGTTTTCCCTTATTATTTTTTAATTATTTATTTAATTTAATTAAAATTCCTAATTTTTTTTATTATTCCTGTACCTGTTACAGCTCATTCAAATCCTATCAACATTACTCCACAATACAATTTATCTATCAACACACTTTAAAACAATACCTTTAACACACAATGCAAATACTATCATCAAATTAAACACAATGCAAAATATACTATCATCAAAATACAATATATAGCACTTAAAATCCTCATACTTTAATACAATTATATCAAATAATGCCCAACTCAATACTATCATAAAAAACAAAATACATTCTATCAATAAAATAAAAGTTATAAGCACTCGGAAAAGAAGAACTTTGAGCAATGCTCCCGAAGCTCATTTATGTCGTCGATAGAATACGGACTATCGCTTTCAAATGCCTACAAAAAATTAAATTAATAAAATTATTAAATATGTTAATTAATAAAATATAACTTTTTTTGAATGCTACTAGCTCTATTACAATGTAGTATCTGTTCATATACTTTCTCAACCTACTAAAACACAAAGAGCCAATAACGCCTCCACTGAGGCTCGAAATCACAATCTTCCAAATGGAAGTCCAACCCGGATACCATTAGACTACATAGTCCTGGTAATAAAATATAACTTAACTATACATAGTTCCATTTAAATTCACTTACCCCATCCAAATTATCAACAGATGAATATTTTGTCACGATGTCATACATGTATCGCATGACATAATATCCACACTCATGACCTCCCGGTTGGATCGGGCACTACAAAATACATATATTATTTTACTAATTTAAACAACTTAATGTAATTCAAAATATCACACTAAATTTAAATTCAATTTTCATACATACTTTGCATGGCTTCCAATTGATGCTCTTAACCCGTGCACTCGTAGGAACAGAGCGAAATGCCCTATAATAATTATAAGCATATACATAAAAATTTATAAATAATAGCATAGTTGCTAAAATACTAATATAAATAATAATAAAGTATTTACTTACAAATTCACAGAGCCTTTAATTAAACCTATGTTGCGATTAGAAGGCAATGGATCCAAGATACATACGCTTTTTGACCGTATGCAAATCACCAAAAGTAACCAATGAGAGCTACATTTAAAAACACAAATATATATTAAAAATTTAATATCTAATACTCCAAATATAAAGTTATGAGTTATATTAATAAAATATAAGAACAATTTTCTTACTCTTGATGATATGGTGCTAAAATAATGTTTTTATCTTTGTGCTGCTCCATGACGTGGATGAAATATGATGTAACTTTGCTGGAACTGCTTTTAAGCATAGTGTGGCAAATCTGAGTCGGACAGACAAACCCGATTGACCTAATGTCATACTCATTGCACAACTGATTAAGAAATCTGAAAATTAAGAAATAATGAATAAGAAATTTTACTAAATATAGGTAAACATATATATATAATATAGTAATAATTAAAAAAAAAACTTACAGTATAAACACTTGTATGATTGAGACATTAAGCCAATTCATCATCATCAAATCCGCTATATCCTTCACCATCACAAAAATAGAACTTGTGTTTTTATGATGGAAGATAGCTTTATCCAGCTCCAACTCAATACAGTCTTTACCAAGTGAAAAGCTTGTCAACAAATCCACTAAACACTTGCAATTGTCCCCCAAGTGCGGTAAGACATCATCACCAACAATGGGAGCTCGTGCACCAGTAGTAGATAAATCAACACTTTGATCTTTTGGTTTCATATTTTGTTTTGATGAACTCTACAAATATAAAATTGTAAGTTTACTAGCCCCTTTTAAATATAAATAACGAAAACTAACTTAATTAATAACTAAATAAAAGAATGCATACCTCTTCTAAAGTCACTAAATGCATAGGCCATTGTGCTAAACTGCCTACTATATCTGCTATAGTGACATATTTTTTATCTGGAAAGGGGAGAGTAAAGTGTCCTCTACCCTTAATTATTAGGACTCTATTATTATTAGTATTCGTTACCTATTGTTACTAGTGTTAGCCTTGTATTAGGTTTGCTATTCGCTACTATATATATTCCTGTACAGACTTATTATCTGATTCATTCAGAAATATTATATCCTCATCTGGTATCAGCAGGTTTTTTTTTTCTCTCTCTATGGCGCACCTCGGTTCTGATGGCGGTTCTGTTGGAAGTTCTGAACGGACTGTTTCTGAGGCTGCGCTTGTGGCACCCCTGCAGTCCGGGGTGTCGTTTTCTTCGGCTCATCACTTCGTTTCCATCAAATTGACATCCCGTAATTTTTTGTTTTGGCGCACTCAGCTTCTTCCGTTCTTGGATGGCCAAGGATTATTGGGTTTTGTCGATGGAACGTCTGTGTGTCCCCCGTTTACTGCGATTACGGTACCTTTTGCTGAGGAGGCTGCTGCTGCCGTGTCTTCGTCGGCCGTATCGTCCGCCGCTCGGAGTGCATGGCTTCGTCAAGATAAGGCCGTGCTCTCCTTGTTGATCTCGTCCTTGTCCGACGAGATGATGCATCTTGCCATCGGTAAAACCTCCTCTCGGCATTTGTGGGTAGCGATCGAACAGGTTCTTGGTTCGACGACTAGGGCCCGTGCTCTTCGGTTGGTGGGCGAGCTGCAAGGATTGCGGCAGGGGGATGCTTCGATCCCAGATTATCTTGGGCGTGCTCAGGTGCTTATTGAGGATTTGGCACTTTCCGGCCGTCCGGTGACACTAGAAGATCAGAATATGTATATATTCCGGGGCTTGCAGTCCGAATATCGCCCTTTGGTGGCGTCGCTGACGAGGGGTGCTCCGGTGTCTTTACCCGAGTTATCCGATTTTCTTGTTTCGCAGGCCTTTATATGTACTGATGATGGTGGTGACGTTGCTGCTGCTCCGGTCGCCATGGCGGCTCAGCGAGGTGGAGGTCGCTCGAGCGGGCAGCAGCGTGGCGGCGGCAATCGAGGCCGAGGTCGTGGCAAGGGCCGAGGCCGCGGTCGAGGTGGCGCCGGGGCTGTCCAGTGCCAGATCTGCTCCGGCGAAGGCCACTCGGCCGCTTCGTGCTATCGTCGTTATGATGGCGCTCCGGGGCCGCGGGCACATGTTGCATATTCTGTTGATGATTCGGCTTCGGTTAATCCTCAGCAGTGGTTTCCTGACACTGGTGCGTCGAATCATGCCACTCCGGATCCGTCTTTAATGTCCTCGGCGGTTCCTTATAGTGGTCCGGATCATCTTCGTGTTGGTGACGGTAAGTGTTTACCTATTGTTAGTACTGGTTCATCTTCGTTAGCCGCATCTAAAACACTGTTTCGATTGTCTGATGTTCTTCATGTTCCTGGGCTTTCTGCGTCTTTATTGTCTGTGCAACGGTTTGCTCGTGATAATAATGTCTTTTTTGAGTTTCACCCTGATTGTTTCTTTGTGAAGGATCGTTCAACCAGGGAAGTTCTATATAAAGGGCCGGCTTCGGGGGGTCTCTATTCTTGGCCTGTCTCTTGTTCAAGTCCCGCTGCGTTTGTGGCCTCTCGAGTCTCCTCTGACGTGTGGCATAGCCGGTTGGGTCATCCTCACCCGCGTCTCTTGCGGCAGATTTTAAATTCATGTTCTATTCAGTCTAGTTTTAGTGATACTTCGGAATTGTGTCGTGCTTGTATGTTTGGGAAATCCTCACGGTTTCCCTTGCCTCGTGTCAATACTACTATGTCTCATGTTTTAGAACTTATATATACTGATATTTGGGGCCCATCGCCTTTTCTTTCCGTCAATGGCTTTCGTTATTTTGTTTTGTTTGTTGATGACTATACGCGCTATGTATGGTATTATCCTATGCGTTTGAAAACTGATGTGTATGCTATCTTCGAGCAGTTTCGGTCACTAGTTGAGCGTTCATATGGTCGTAAGATTGTCTCTATTCAATCTGATTTAGGGGGAGAGTATAAACGGTTGCACCGTACTTTTGTCTCTTTGGGTATTAATCATAGGCAGTCTTGTGCCTATACCCATGAGCAGAATGGTAGAGTTGAGCGTCGGCATCATCACGTTGTGGAAACGGGTTTGGCTCTTTTGGCCCAGGCTTCGGTTCCACAACGATATTGGGATTATGCCTTTGAGACTGCGGTCTATCTCATCAATAAGATGCCGACTCGGGTTTTGGATAATGATAGTCCTCATTCTCGGTTGCATCGTTCTAGTCTTTCTTACTCTTTCTTGCGTGTGTTTGGCTGTCTCTGTTATCCTCTGTTACGCCCGTATAATCGTAACAAGTTGCAGTATCGGTCTTCTCCGTGTGTGTTTCTTGGTTATCCGTCTTCGTTTCGTGGCTATCGTTGTTTTGATCCTGCTACTAACAAGGTATTCATTTGCCGTCATGTGCGGTTTGATGAAACCATATTTCCATTTGCTTCTTCTGTCCCCTCTCAGGTCTCTAGCTCTCGCCCGATTGAGCTGTGGGGTGTTGGCGCGAGCTCCGGTGTTTGTTCTGCTGGGCCGGATCCTCGTCCGGAGATGGACACGGATTCTGGGGCTGCTGGTGCTGCTTCTGATTCCCGCACCGAGACTGCCGTGGCTCCAGATGTGGCAGTCTCGGGTGCTCCTAAGGCGCCCAAGCGAGGTCGGCGCGCGGTAAAACCGGTTCCACCTCGGTCTCATGTTATGACGACTCGTTCTTTGGGGCCGACGCAGCATGTGGCTCTTATGACTGTTTCTGAGCCGACCTGTTATTCTCAAGCAGTTCGGTATCCGGAATGGCGTGAGGCCATGGATCTTGAGTTTAATGCCTTGCTCCAGAATCACACTTGGCGTCTGGTTAGTCGCACACCTGGTATGAATGTTGTAGGCTGCAAATGGGTGTTCAGGACGAAGCGCAAGGCTGATGGCACGATTGAGCGGCACAAGGCTCGGTTGGTGGCTAAGGGGTTCAATCAAGTCGCAGGACAGGACTTTTTTGAGACCTTCAGTCCTGTTGTAAAACCCACAACCGTGCGGCTTCTTCTCTCCTTGGCTGTCTCTCGCGGTTGGGTAATTCGGCAGTTGGATGTTCACAACGCCTTTCTGAATGGTAATCTTGCAGAGACAGTCTACATGCGACAGCCGCCTGGCTATGAGGACTCGTCACGACCGGATGATGTATGCTTATTACAGAGGTCACTCTATGGTCTTAAGCAGGCTCCTCGCGCATGGTTTAACAGGTTACATGCTTTCTTGGTGTCGGTTGGTTTTTCACCTTCAAAGACTGATGTCTCTTTATTCATATACACTCGTGACTCTGTATCTTTATATGTGCTTGTTTATGTGGATGATATCCTTGTTATGGGATCTGATGCTTCGCGTGTTACTCGGCTTCTAACTGACTTAGCCTCGGAGTTCAAGATTCGTGACATGGGTGCTCCGTCTTTTTTTTCTGGGCATTGAGACGGTCTCTCGTGGTGATGGTTTGTTTCTTTCTCAGCAGCGATACATGCGAGATATCTTGAGCCGTGCAGGTATGGTGGACTGCAAGCCGTTGGCTACTCCGGTGCCTGTGACTCGACCCGTTTCTGAATCTGTGGTTCCTTATGCTGATCCCACGCAGTATCGCAGTCTTGCTGGGGCTCTGCAGTATCTTACTGTCACTCGCCCGGATTTATCTTTTGCTGTGAATCGGGTCTGTCAGCATATGCACTCCCTGACCACTGAGCATTGGGCAATGCTCAAACGTGTTCTGCGGTACGTTAAAGGCACTTTGCATTTTGGTCTGTTTATTCGCCCATCCTCCTCTGTTGCAGTGCATGCTTTTTCGGATTCGGACTGGGCTGGGGACCCCGCTGACAGAAAGTCTACTAGCGGCTTTGCGGTTTTTCTTGGTGACAATCTGATCTCTTGGTCTTGCCGGAAGCAACGTACGGTTGCTCGTTCGTCTACAGAGGCCGAGTACAAGGCACTAGCTGACGTGTCTGCTGAGGTCACCTGGTTGATTTCTCTATTGCATGAACTTCGGTTGCCGTTGGCAGCTCCTCCCACTCTCTGGTGTGATAATCTGGGTGCAACTTATCTCTGTTCCAACCCGGTGTTCCATGCTCGTACGAAACATGTGGAAATTGACTATCACTTTGTTCGTGACAAAGTGGCAAAGAAAGAGTTGCAAGTTAGCTTCATTTCTACTAAGGATCAGCTGGCTGACGTGTTCACTAAAGCTCTCCCTGGTCCGCGTTTCTCTACTCTGTGTGGCAAGCTCAATGTTGTAGCTAGTCCACCTTGTGCTTGAGGGGGAGTATTAGGACTCTATTATTATTAGTATTCGTTACCTATTGTTACTAGTGTTAGTCTTGTATTAGGTTTGCTATTCGCTACTATATATATTCCTGTACAGACTTATTATCTGATTCATTCAGAAATATTATATCCTCATCTTAATCACTTCATCCACCGAAACTTTGACACAGTTATACAACAGTGGTTGGTGATCCACCAAAGTCTCGTCAGTACTTGGGTGAACCATACCCTTTGCAACATCAATTGGTGTTCCATTGGGACATACTGCTAGTAAACACCTTTTTGTACTCTATTATTCAAAATTGTGTGTTAATCTTTATCTAACAAGAAATAATTTTTTGATATATGAAATAACTTTTAATATTACCTGAATTGTTGTAACTGGATATGTGTCAACTGAATGACAACTGCTACGAGTAGGGGGTGGATCACGAAGCGGTGGATCAGGCAAGACCCCTCCTGAAAATAGATGTGTCCTCGATATGTTCTTCATCAAAAACTTGAGTTGTTAGTCCATTGTTTCAATCTTGGGATTCATCTTTGCTTCCACCTCCATTATAGTATTTTGCCTACATTTCTCTAACATTTGTTGGACAACAGCTTCTGAGTAAACCCCACTCGATGTGCTTTGTTTCCGATTTGGTCTACCAAACACTTCTTGGATGGTAGAGTATGAACCAATTGCTCTTACAGAACCTGAATTATCATCCTTTCCAAGAGCTACTGACAATACGTCATGGTGTCGTTTTGCTTCAAATTTTCCTTGATCAAGTTCTTCACATTTTTCTATCTGTTCCAACAAATTAAAATAAGTCAAGTACTAGTATTTTTATAAATATTATGTACTATTATGACATTTAAAAAAATATAATACTTACAATTTTATGAAACACTTCCTGTGTTTTTTCATTTGGAATAAAGTAACTTCCATCATCTGCTTTTTTTTTGTTCTTGCTCGTATCCAATCAAAGCTGCGATCATCGGACAACAAAGACGAGCTAACTGACGCACACGAAGATTGTGAAGATAGGGGATCTTCTTTCATCCACTCTTGTCGTCTCTTCGCATATCCACTAGAACCTAAGAAGTGTGGATGCTCATTTAACGCCTGCAATTCCCTAGCCTTCTGACTTCTTTCCTATAATTTCACAGACATGTTAATATTAATAAAACACTTTACTTATAACTAAATGATCTAAATATACCTTAAACTCTTCAGACTGCCGACTAGCTACAAACTTCGCCCATTGTTCTGCACTCAAAAAGTCATAAAGTTCTGTAGGAGAGTTATACGTTTGATGCTTCTTGTGTACAAACTCACGTAATAATCTACTCTTGAAGTCTCCCCATCTCGTCCGTGCAATTTTCAAAACCACCAACTTCTTTGAAGCATCTTCAATACCAAATTTCCCCTGAATAGTTTAACGCACATAAGCAACATAATATATATACTTGACTTATTGTTATTAATATAAAGTTCTTTAATATACCTTAACATCTTCCCAAATGGTATTTTTAAGATTTGAATCTACCTCATGCCAATTCTTGAAATTGATATTAACACGAGCACGAACCAAAGTCCCAATGTATGTAGAAAACTCAGTAGAATGTTCTCCAGTTATCCTACTACTTTCATCAAACTGAACTGAAAGATCCGAAGCCTTTTTTTTTTCTCAATTTTTTACATGTTGTAGGCCCTCTTTTTTTGCGTTCAGTAGCTTTAGTAGGAGGGTCTGAAGATATAGATTGATCAGGCATGATTATCTATATATACCTGCACAAACAAAATAAAATTATTAGTAAACATGTTATATTGCATTTCAACTTGAACAAAATAGTCTTAAAAATTATTTAACAATTTATAAAGCTTACAATATTACAACCGATTGTCAACCCACAATCCTTCTTCATGATCACTACGCATGTAACTTATTTCAAGGTTATCTTCTTCTAAAGGTAAAGACTGAACTCCAATAGAAAATGGAGGAGTTTCATCAAAATGATCATACTCTTCTTCATCCACAACATCACCAACACCAACAATAGATCTTTTGCTTTGTAACACAATTGACCACTTATTATCAACAGGATCAGAAACATAAAACACTTGTTTTGCCTAAGATGCAAGTATGAATGGTTCATCATGATAACCCAACCGTTCAAAATCAACCAAAGTAAAACCGAATTCATCTATCCGAACGCCTCTTCTATTATCGACCCAACTACATTTGAATAGAGGAATTTTAAACACTTTGTAATCAAGTTCCCAAATTTCTTCAATCACACCATAATAAGACATAGCAGCATCAATCGGTTTAGTATCCTTAGCACTTGAATAATCTTTTGATAATGCTACTTGTGTAACCCCACTATTTTGCACCACACTCTTTTCATCTTGTCGCTTGGTGTAAAATGTATATCCATTTATGTCATAACCTTCATAACAACTTACAAGCAAATCAGGTCCATATGCTAACCATTTGATGGTTTCACTGACTTGAGATAAGTCGTCTTTCATCACTGTATCTTTGAACCATGTGATGAATGTGCGATTGTGTTCAATGGTCACCCATCTTTCACCCTTTAAAGGATTTTGTTCTCTTATCAGGGATATGTGTTGGTCCAAGTATGGATGTACCTCAGAAAGATGTTGCAATACGAGATTATGTGCCTTATTTCGCAACTGCAAAGGTGGAGAAACTGGTTTGTACCCAATAGTACCTTTCCCAGTGAGTCTTCCTTCATGACGAGACTTAGAAACACCAATTGACTCAACATTAGCTAAATAATCAGTACAAAAATCAATGACTTCTTCAGCACCATAACCTTCAATTATACTCCCTTCAGGTCGATACCGGTTTCTCACATATCCTTTCAATATTCCCATATATCTTTCAAACGGATACATGTACCTCAAAAAAACCAGACCACACATCTTAATTTCTCTCACCAAATGAACAATCAAGTGCACCATAATATCAAAAAAAGATGGAGGAAAATACATTTCAAATTGACACAAAGTAACAACCACATCAGCCTGCAAATCATCTAATACATCTAGATCAATAACTTTACTGCAAATAGCATTGAAGAAGAAACAAAGCTTTGTTATAGCCCGCCTAACATGTTTCGGTAGGATGTCTCGAATAGCAATTGGTAACATGTGTTGCATTAATACATGACAGTCATGAGACTTCATGCCAACCAACTTAAGGTCCTTCATCGACACAAGTTTCTTAATATTCGACGAATACCCAGAAGGAACCTTGACACCATTTAAACAGGCACAAAAACTTGTTTTTTCTTTTTTGGATAAAGTATGACAAGCTGGAGGTAAGTATGTCCGCTTTCCTAACTCTTGTGGTGCTAACTTATCCCGTATTCCCATTTCAACCATATCCTTTCTAACCTTAACACTATCTTTCGTCTTCCCTAGAATGTTTAACAGTGTCCCAATAATGTTGTCACAAACATTTTTTTCAACATGCATAACATCAAGACAGTGTCTAACTGATAAATGCTCCCAATATGGTAGATCCCAAAATATAGACCTCTTCTTCCAAGGAGTCGTTTGACTAGTCTTACAAGTCTTACCAAAATCAACTTCAATATTCTTAACACGTTCATAAATAGTATCTCCAGATAAAGGTAAACGAGCAACTCGAGTCTCAAGATTTCCATTAAAAGCCTTTCTCTTCTTACGATAAGGATGACCCGTAGGGAGAAATGTCTTGTGGCTCATGAACACATTCTTTTTACAGTTACTCAACCATAGACTGGAAGTTTCATCTTCACAAATTGGGCATGCCTTAGCTCCTTTAGTAGTATAATAACCCGATAGGTTACCATAAGCTGGGAAATCATTTATTGTGCAAAAAATCATTGCACGTAAGGTAAATCTGCTTCGAGTATAAGCATCATAAACCGGCACACCTTCATTCCACAAAATCTTTAAATCCTCAACAAGTGGCGCTAGATATACATCAATGTCATTTCCTGGTTGTTTAGGCCCTGATATCAACAACGACAACATGATGTGTTTTCTTTTCATACACAACCAAGGAGGAAGATTGTAAACTACTAAAAGAACAGGCCAAGTACTATGTCGACTGCTCATGTTACCATGAGGATTCATTCCATCAGTACACAGTCCAAGTCTAAGATTTCTATTTTCAGAACCGAAATCAGGCAGCCTCCTATCAATATTTCTCCATTGAGGTGAATCAGCTGGATGTCTCAGTTTTCCATCTTCTTTTCTTCCAATAGCATGCCATTGCAAATTTTTTGCCTCTCTTGGATTAGCAAACATGCGTTTAAATCTTGGTATTACGGGTAAGTACCATAATACTTTGGCTGGGGGACCTTTCTTATTCTTACATGCATCTTTGTTTTTATAACGTGATGCTCCACACTTTGGACACACATGCAAGTCTTTGTAATCTTTCCAATACAAAATACAATCATTTGGACATGCATGTATCCTCTCAATGTCCATACCCAAAGGGCACAACATTTTTTTTGCTTTGTAAGTTGAATTAGGAAGTTCATTGTCACCCGGAAGCATGTCTTTTATTAGTTCTAATAATCCCGTGAAACTCTTATCACTCCATCCATTTTTTGCTTTTAAATTATATAATTTAAGCACTCCAGATAACTTAGTAAATTTAGTACTTCCAGGGAACAACGGTTTTTCAGCATTGTCAAATAAACTTTTAAATTCAGGAGGCATTTCACTAAAATCTTCCTGCACATCACGCATCATTTCATCTATTCGATCATTATCTTCATCATTCTCATCATTGCTAACATGAGATGCATTATTCTTCTCATTATCTTCAAGAGTTTGACAATTTGCTTTAGTTTTACCGTGTGCATGCGTTCCACTATCTATATAAGTTTCCTTAATTACACTTGTACTAGGAATTAAGCTTTCACCGTGCCATATCCATCTTGTGTATCCTTCCTTAAAATCACGACGTATCAAATGACTCTTCACTTCATCAGAACTACGATATCTTTTAAAATTCTGACAATCGCAACACGGGCACACAATAAAGTCCTCCCCCTTTTTACTCATATTTTCTTCAGCACATTGTATAAACTCTTGAACCCCTTGCATATATGGGAATGTAGTGCGTTTTCCAAGCATCCAACTCCTATCCATATCTGTGAATTCATAAAATACTACTCTAAGTACTAATCAGATATGGATACGCAATGGTTACTTAATTGTCTTTGGGGAATGCTCACCAAAATCAAGTATGACTAAGATTATAATTTGTTGCATGTTGAGCAATCAAATGCAGTCATTCAACTTAGCATAACAGATGTTTACAAGTAATGAAGAGGATTGTCTAATAGCATTATAACGGCATGTCAATTCTAATATTTGGGGCATAGGAATAGATGGAATACTTACTTGCAGCGGATAATCACTAGTTGAGGTTTCAGAGCCTTAGGTCCATTTCGTATCCCTCTCTTGTGACGAGAAACCTGCATTATTGAATGTATACCACCAAATAAATGTCAACTGAAATAAGAGATAGAAGTCTGTTTTAGGCCCTAGACTGTTAGAACTTTTGACCGTTAGTAGCCCATCTATTACCAAATAAAGGGCAGTTATGGTCATTGGTTAAGTGAATGCATCACATGCTGCTCCAACATGGAGGCTAGCAGTTATTTTCTTTATATCTAAAAACAAATCAATGGATAATGCATGATAGATTATCTTTCAATTCAATGCATGGTAGATTATCATTCAATTCAGTCAAGCAAAAAACTAACAGTCATTATTAATATAATGTGAGTTGTAATTTCACTAGCATGCCATTAATGGCTGCCATGGCAGCTCATGGAAGAAGAAGACGAAGCGTCTTCTTCTAAACTGGAAGACAACGCTGCCATGGCAGCTTGGTTGGTTACCAAGCTGCCATGGCAGCAACTAATTAAAAAAATATATATTTAACTTTTTATTAAGATGTAAGTAGATGCCAAGTCAGCTAATTTTAAGTCATTATTTGATAGTAACCTGTAAAAAAAATCTAATTGCATTTTTCTTTAGAGTTGAAATCATTTCTTTTTTCTTCTTAAACTGCCTTACTCGGACACAATTTGGTCAGTTGGAAAAACCTAGATATGATTCAGGCCTTAATCCAATGAAGAAAAGTAAACTGGAGAAAAAAATTAAAGCAGAAAGAGGTTAGACTAAACAATGAGGAAAATAGGAAATCCTGGCCAACTTCCAAGAATAGTTTACCTATACATCAAAAGGATACGGATGTTGGAACCAACACCATGCTACAAAACAAATAAAGTGTCACTGTGCAGGATCCTAAAGTTAAAATATGACGGCATATAGAATGATTAGAATCTATTCAAAAGTAGTAATTTTGTTGTCCTAATGCAGAATTCAACTTCAGTGGCAAAATCTGATAAGAACTTCTTCACATATTGACACATACAGCAGAGGCAAAATAGTGGAATAAGATGACCACTTCTTTACCCTGTTTTTAATATACATAAGGCTGCTATATAAAAAAAACAGTGAATTTAAATCATTTAGGGCAATATAGGAGAAAATTCGTTATTAAGAGCATGAAAGTGTTGGGATCTTATACTGGGATTGGGAGGAATATGGTGGCCTAAATCCGATGGCCTGTGCACCAATCTGTCAAGGATGCGTTCTTAGGACTTTGGGCGGAACCTTTTAGAAAAAGAGAAAGCAAGATAAAATGGAACTTGGCCCATATTAGCTTATTACTTTGGTTAATTTGGAACAAGAGAAACTGACTATGCTTTGAAGAGTCCAGACATTTTTATGGATGAAAAGCAGACTAACTATAGCTCATGAATAGATCTCTAGGATAACATTATAAATGAATTCAGAATAGAGGGCTTGTTGAACTACACAACTTTTTTTTTCTTCCCTTTTCCTTCAGTAGCAGACTGCTGTCTGCCTATCTGTAGAAAAAAAGAGATTCCAGAAATGACTCTTGACAATATACAAGTTTTTTTATCTTTTACTTCACGATATGAAAACCCATATTTCCATACGTAGCGGAAAATAAGAAATCACATTTTCTTTAAATAGCTAAGATCAAATGATCTTTTGGTTAAGACCATCTAGTTTAAGAGCTAGTGCCCCTAGGGTATTCTGAGTATCCTCTTCAGAGAGGATAAGGAGCAGAGGGACTTACTAACTCCTCCACCCGCTTTATTGCCTGAATTATCAAATGAAGACCCTTTTGACGAACCAGTCTAGTAATGCATATAACCAAAGTCACTTGATGAATTATTAGACTCTAACCCATTCAATCCAATAGTGATTTTGCCTATTGTTATCCAATGACAAACAAATTAAACACTGCATTGATCAATTTCAATAATTCTGTTCACTCCAACTCAAATACCCAATCAAAGAATCCCTCTGTATTAAAATAGCCATTCACGAGTTGAAACAAAAGTTGTAATTGCAAAAATCAAGTATTTACCATGTCAAAATTTGTATACTTATAACAGTTTTTACTACATTGTCTAACCTGTACGGGAGTGGCAGTGGCGCGGCAGTGGTGCGGCGTCGGGAAAGGGAGGCGGCAGTGGCGTCGGCTAGGGGCGACAGTGGCGCCGGCAGGCCGGGGATGGCGGCTTGGCTGTAGCGGTGCGTCGTGGTGTGGGCGTGCAACGGTTGCTGTGCGTGTGGCGGTGCATCGCGGTGGTCTCCGCCAACGGCGTGGTGGCGGTGGGTCGCCGGGCAAGAGCGTCGAGGTCGGATGGGAGCAGATCGATTGCGTGGTCGCCGGAGAGAGCAGAGGCAGATCGAGAGCGTCGATGGAGTATTTTGAGCAGCGGGTTGTCGATGTCTTCTGATTGAATAGATCTAGGTTAATCTTAGGCAAGGCAACCATTTCTATTAGAAATGGTTTCCTATTACAAATTAATTTTTTTAAAAATAAATACAAAATACAATGGGCAACCATTAAAGCTAACAATGGTGACCGATTATTGATCACTTATTTACAAAATTGCCACCGCGAATTTTTGGGCTAAGATTAGACAACCATTCTTTCAACAATGGTGGCCTATGGTCAATCTTCTATGTTCAATTTTGTACTAGTGATACAATTAATGAATTTGTGATCTAGTTCTTTGATCACTAAGCCCACACTAATCACACCACTCCAGTGCATCTAGCATTGCCACCAGGATTTCACAACTCCGTGTGACAATCCTCTATCTACACTCCAGTAGAGAAACAACTTGTTTAAAAAAGAAGATTTTTCTTTCTTCCAACTTTGAGACTTCTGAATGAATTCTTCAATGTATAGCAAGTCTCTCTTTGAGATGAGGATTTCTGTAAGCTCTTTGATATGATTTTCACTTGATTGAATATTCGTATATAGCTGTCATTCACTTGATGTCACACTTGTTGAATTTTCTCGCAAAATTTGTTTTTTGTTCCCCGTACCTAGTTTCTTCAGATCTTCATCCTTATATAGGTGTTTGATAATTTGTCCACAATGCCAGAAAAAATTGAAGGAGAAGAACATAACATGAAAAACCAAAAAACCATTGGATTAACCGGTTAATTGACGATAAACTTAACAAAGGACAAAAAGTGGCACGATTAGAAAGAGAGTCAATCGTTATGGTGTGCAACCGTTTGCACCATGCATGGTGCACACGGTTGCAAAAACGACGTCTTTTTGACTAAAAACGCATGTCCGACTTAAAAAAAAAATTTCAGTTTCGATTCCCGTCAACAACATTATGTTGTGCATAATTTGAACAATATAGTTCATTCATTCTGGATTTTTAGTTCATTCATTCTGGATATTTAGTTCATTCAGTCTGGATTTTTAGTTCATTCATTCTGGATATTTAGTTCATTCATTCTGGATATTTAGTTCATTCATTCTAGATATTTAGTTCATTCATTCTGGATATTTAGACGGAAATCGAAACTGATTTTTTTTTCATTCATGCTGGATATTTAGTTCATTCATTCTGGATATTTAGTTCATTCATTCTTGATATATAGCTCATTCATTCTGGATATTTAGTTCATTCATTCTGGATATTTAGTTCATTCATTATGGATATATAGTTCAAATTATGCACAACATAATGTTGTTGCTGAGAATCGAAACTGATTTTTTTTTTTAAGTCGGACGCGCATTTTTAATTAAAACGACGTTGTTTTTACAACCATGATGCACACGGTTGCACAGCATTGTTGGAGATTTTGTGCTGTAACAATGCCAACGTGAACTCTGAACAGGAAGGCAGTGATGGATGACAGAATACGAAGAGGGATTCGAAACTGATAGACAGAATTCTGTGCCGTGTTTATTAAAACACTACCTTAAAAGCGTAAATTTGTCGATGATGGTGCCGATACGCTTCCGACTGGCAAACACAGATTATAATATGTATATTATGCTCAGACACGGAAGAGAGAATGAAGAAGAAGGAAGCTCTCTGGTCTTTTGTGTCCTCTCCTATTCGTACAAGAGAAAGGGAATTTATAGTGAAAAAGCTCAATTGATTATTCCATATCCACCACACAAGCATGCGCTATAATAGGAAAATTATGTTGAATGATCCCACGATCCTGCGTCTCTTAATTTGCGGACAAGGAGAAAGCATGATCTAGACACGTCCGTAAAAATAGCCTTCTTTATGAATGTCTTTTTCCAACAATCCCACACCCATTCAAAAGAAGGCTGAAATAAAAATTTGTCTGAGCAATACACCAAGTTGACTTTAATGTTAGTGAATCAGCTCTTGAACTAACACATAGTGACATCGAGTAATTTTCTTTCCAAGAGTGATATGAATCTTGAACTCATTGGTCAGAGAAATTTTGAACTCTAATGCTCACATCAACCTTTTACAACTTCTCGTCATATCTAGCAATATAGACTTTATTATCCGTCAAGTCTATCTCAATATCTACTTTATATATTATCCGTCAAGTCTATCTCAACATAGACCACCTCTTACAGGCGTCAAGTCTATCTTAATATAGACTTTATTATCTGTCAAGTTTACCTCAATATAAACTTTTCTATTTGTCAAGTCTAGCTCAATCTAGACTTTGACTATGTCAAGTTTATCTCAACATAAACTTTTAACTCTGACAAGTCTTACCGAATTACAAATTTTATGTCTTGTACTGTCAAGTCCATCTCAATATAGACCTTTAACTCTATCAAGTCTATTTTAGTATAGACCACCATTAAGGCTTATAGAGTAGTTAAAGACATAAATAAGTTGTAAGACTTTTCTTTCTCTCAGAGGCACTGTTATTTAAAATGCAAATTATAGTTTGTGGGCCACAAGGTGGTGAAGGTGTTGGACACCCCCACAACTGCATGGTTATCACCCTGTTTCTTAGCCACTCAGCTTCTTGGGATAACCCCATTATCTTTCATAAGAGGCGGTTAGCCCTTTTCTACTCAAGTTAGGGATCTCTTTAGGTCTACCTCAACATAGACCACCCCAATTGAGTATAATTCTCCAAGAGCACTTTGTACTCATGTCATTATGCGGTGAATTCATTAGGTTTGTCTCAACAAAACCACCTTTTCTCAAAAAGTTATGAATTCATTAAGAGCTGTAGCTCAACCTCACAAGTACACACACTGTCGGAATGACCAACTAGTGTACTATTTTGTAACTCTTTTCATGGCTTCGTTTAACCACAGAAGTGGGATCCACCACGAATTCATTACCACTTGGACTTTAAGTCCTTCCAATGAGTCAGCGACTAATCCTCATAATTAGCCCTCAAGTAAGTTGATTCTCTTGACCAAACTTACATGTACTTTGACGAGTACTTCGTTTACTCATAAATAATCCCTTGAGATTTTCATGTTTAACATGAGACATCCTCTTTCATCATTATTCGCAATACCACAGAGAAAATTTTGATGAAAATATAAGGAGTTTATTACCCCCACAATGCAACACTTACAAATATTTTTGTCAAATATATTTGATCTCTTACCCAGACTGATATTTGGTGCCCAACATTGGCTCCTTAGTAGACTGTATGCAAACTTTATATCAACTTTGCACTTGGTTAATACACACTCAATAGTGAAATATATCTCAACCAAATTGATTACTTCAAACCACAAACATTTCCTTTTATACAGGAATCTTAGATCATGCCAAAAAAAATATATTCAAACTGCATTTGTTATAGAATAATAAATTGCAACAAGGTGAACTCGACATGTATAACTTTAACATTCAAAGTTATTCCATCTTCACAATTTTTCCTTCACTTGAGGAATTTCAAAATTCATATAAAGCATTCGTATAATGCAAGTCAGTACAAAAAATCTAAATTTATTCTCAAAAGAATACATAGTCCCACTTATATAAAAGGATAATTTTCAACACTATTATTGCAATACTTAAGCAATATAATATTTATTGTAAGGCTCTTTCATGCTATCACAAATTGCATTTAAAGCTTTGACATATACTTATTATCCTTTTATATACAAATAATTTTAACACATGAATCAAATATTTAAAATCATGTGACTACAAATTATATGCATATCATATTTAATTTTGAAGGAACAAATAGCACCCACTGATAAATTAATCATGTGTATAACAAATTTATGTTCCTCAATTATCTAACACACGAATAATATACAACCATAATTTCTTGACTTTTCAGCAAATTAAAGAATATGGCTTTGAACAATAGATCTAGAGATCAAAACCCCAATATTTACTAAAAATCAAGAGAGCTAGTCAGGTGAGTTCCAATCTAAGTAATACTCCATATGTATATGCAGTGAGCTGAGCATCTATTTATAACACAATAATTAATGCATGCCTGCAGTAATATATTATTGCAATGCAATATAATGACAAAATTTAAAGATGCATGCAGTGCTAATGCTCATGAAATAATATGTTAGGAATAAAGTGTAATGGTTTTGATATGCCAAATTTGTATTTGTAGATCCCCCAATTTTATTTCATAGGTCTAGTAGAGTCTTAGACCATGATCGGGAAATTATTTAATTATGAAAAGAGAAAAACAGAGGAAAATGGATGAAAATAGAAGAAGAAGATATAAAGCCGAAAATCAAGAATTTGTCTGGAGAAAATGACAAATTGAAGAAGAAGATGAATGATACAATATTCACGTCGCTACTACTCAAAGAAGATATCCCAGAAGAATTTTCGTGAAGAAAATTAATATTGGAAGAATGCATGAAATTGACTTGGAGATCAAGCATCTATGGAAAGAAAGAAGTA